CCTCTCTCTCTCTCTCTCTCTCTCTCTCTCTCTCTCTCTCTCTCTCTCTCTCTCTCTCTCTCTCTCTTCAATTCCTCAATTCCCACCGTTTGCTTTCTCCTTTTCGCTCCTTTTCTATGGCTCCCTGATGCGTGCCCACGTGGCAGACAGCTGATCGACGGCCGGCGATTACCGCCGGAGTTTACGAAAGCCGGGGGCGAGGATCTCTTGAGCGCGGGAATCTCTTTCTCGTGCCTCCAGTTCTGGTGGGGTGGGTGGGGTGGGTGGGATGTCTCCTCCTCCTTCGAATGCACCCACACCCACACACACGCGATCCGTTCCGTGTATACCCACCGCCCTCCCAACACCACCTACTCCTCAGACGCTGCTTGTCGTCCCAACGAGGTACATACCAACAGCTCCACGCAGCAACACTACCACTAACTATCATCGGTCGGTCGGGCCACGTGCTCACGGTCGGGGTCGTTGCCGCCCTGGTTCAAAGAGACTCCTCCGGTTCGGTCGCCGGGCCTCTCCTCGACCGGTCGTTCGCTGCAGTCGGCGACCGCCGCCGGGCGGTCTTGTCCGTCTGCATGATGAATAACAACAGATCGTAGCCACCCAATCTTCGGCGGGAGGGGGCTGGCGCGGGGCTGCTGGGGCGCCCGGAGGGCTGATCGAGACGAATCAACCTAAATTAGATAGCAGTGGAGTTTCGGCTGGGAGAAAGCGCCAGGCGGTCTCGGATATGGAAATAATATGGAAATATGGAAAGGAAAAAGCGCCAGACGCGGGAGGCAGGAGGCACCCGCGGGCTTTCGTCGATGCACCCGCCCTCCTAACACGACCAAATTCGGTCGAAAATGATCCGGAGTACGTATGACGTGTGCCAAGAGCGACCCTTTCAAAGGAAAAACAGTGACCTTTCTCGGCCCTGCTTTAGGGCATTCGCACAGTATGACTTCCTTGACAGAATCTAGACGTGATTGCGACTGGATTGAGTCGAGGAAAGATCAGTCTTTATGGGAGTACGTGGATTCGAATGAGTATTCCATGATTGCCGTCAGGTTTGGCTCTTCGAAACTCCATGTGACTCTGCCCTTTTTTTTTATTATACTTCTTTTATAATAAGAAAGACGGAGAGAGGGACCTGTGATCGGTATTAGTGGAATCTATGACCAACATGGGTGTGAGTGCGAGCGCGAGTGGGTTGTGTGTGGTGTGTGGGAGAGTGTTGGCCATAGCCTCTGCTGCTACTCGATGAAGGGTGGGGGACGATGAGAAAGGGAGGCACAGCTACTGGCAGGTCTCGGTCTTTGTGTTAGCCAGACCCCCACTGGCGGCCCCAACCCTATACCCTAACCATTAGGGGCAAGGGGCAACATGAAATCTCCCCTTCACAGAGAGAGGAAAACTATGCTTGCAGGGGTCCTTGCAGGGGTCCCCTTTAGATAGTCTTAGGAGTTGGTAATGGAAGGTAAAAGAAACAGAAGTTGAGAGAAAGAACAGAAGGGAAAAAAAAAGAATATAGAAAAGAAAAAAAAAATTGCGTAAGATGCTTTCGTTTTCTTTTTGGGGAATTCTCATTTCTTTACCATACAACATACAACTCGACAATTGAAACGAAGCCGGGGAGGCCTGCGGGCCTATCTCAGTTGGTAAGGCACAGAAGTCGCATTCAGGAGGTCGTGGGTTCAATCCCCATTGGCCTCACGTACGTGCCTGGGCAAGCTTGGTGCTCTACCAGCTAGAGATAACCCATTGGCCCCCCCAAACCAGCATTGGCAGGACCTTGGTTGATGTTGTTGGCTGCTATGCAGCGACACTATTGGCCATTAGACACCGCCATGTGGGGTTGGGGGGGGTAGGGGGAGGTGCAGTGACTGGCCATTGCTCGGCGCTAGCACCGCCGATTTCCCCCATCGGCAATGCCTGCCCACCCCTCGTCACCGTGATGAGGGACTGGTACAGCCTTGCTCTCGCACCACAGCTGTGTTGCAAACCTACCCCGTGGGCTGGGGAGAGATCCGGGTTGGTTGGTGTTCCCCCGTACTATAAATAGACTAGTGAGAAGATGAGTTAGATGCGTACTACCAAGAAAGATGAAGTAGATTGAGAGAAGAATATAGATTACCTTTTAAAAAAAAAA